TGTCCTGGAAGGACGGATGACGTCGGAATTTGGTACAGGGAGTCTAGGACAAGCCGTTGGGGTCCTTATCAAAGCAAATTTCCGTCCGGTATGTGAATAAGTTAACTGTTATTTCACTCATTTCAGACTTAAAAGATGACAATCAAGATAGCCGGAGAGAGTTTCTTAAAGGAGACGCAGTGACTCACGAATTTCTTTTGCTTTCTAATCTTTTGCTAGTTTATAATTTAACTAGCTATTTTTGTTAATCGTTTCATCCCAAACAAGGCGATTATGAGATTAGAATTCAGGGTTACAAGGAATGAATGTGAGAGTGAATGAGACGAGTGAAAATGGGGAGTATTCAGGAAAGAAAGAAAAGAAACAGGGTTCGCAATATGGCGATTTAAGTTGAACTTAAATTTTTTGAAGATTGTATTTATCAGGGAAGCAAGAAATCGGAAATCGTAATTCCACAAGTGGGAGATGCGAGAAAAGAAACGTAAAAGTGGTGGTTACATCTGGCTAGTTCAAAATTAAAACGTTGAGGCTTCGTTGCCAAGCTAGTATCACACTTACATTCAGGTAGTCGGGTCACCAGGGGTAAATGCTCATCAGAGCCGTTGTCATGAAAATATTTGTAGAACAGATAGAGGAAAGCCACGTCATATCATTAAGAAAGGGACTGAAGTTGAGATGCCTGATCAGGATTGTTTACATTACAGATCCTACTTTGGATTTTGTCACGAATCTCGAGATGTACAACAGGAGAATCAGACCAGATATAGCAACAATATTCAATGCACAGATGAACGGAAGATTTATAAAAGTGCACGATCGTATGGTAATTTCGAAATTAACTGTTTCTATATAAGGAAAACTTCGGCATTCATTGACCGATCAGTTAACGTTACAGTCGGTTGAAATTTATGAAATATGTTTTTTTTATTAAAACAGTTATTCATGAAAACAGTCTTCTCAAGTCCACGAGTTGTTATCACTCTTGCTATTAAAGATCGTATTTTCTTTTCTAATTTAATGAAGTCTGGAATGTCACCAATATTCATTCTATCATTATTTTCCATTCTATTGACATGTTCACTTTATTTTGTTGAAGTTACTCTTGGAAATCGTCGAGTGATGTGATTTTTGTTATTTTGGTAAAATTCGATATGATTTTTTAGCTTTTGTCGATATGTATTGGAACTAACGAAAGATTTCTTATGAAGCCTAAAGGATTTCTTTAATAATACCACGCTGAAATTTCATTCACTCTAATTATTACTTTGAATGGCTTTGATTTGGTGGATGTTATGATATATCAACACTTGCCCGGTTTAGATCTATTTTTATCCTGCTTATTCTTTAAGTGCCGTGTCCTTTCAGGACGTAGGTGTTCATGACTCTCTTCAATTTCTGTTTTTCCTAACTCTTAATAAATTGTCTTTTTGTGATTCCTCTTTTAAATTTTTCCGCCATCAATTTGTTTTCAAACCCGCTATTTTAGGTGCTATTTTTCTTCTCTTGTGCTTGCCTTCAATCTCTCCTGCAAATATCAGATTTTATAAGCCCTCTTTCCGAAATATGTGCCCTTAAAATTTCAACTATCTATTCCTGATTTTAAATATAAGTATTTTTTGTTTTATTTACATTTGTGAAACTTTGTAGTTATTCACATGTTCAGTCAATGATATTCTTATTATCCTTTGGCAGAATCGCAGCTTTTTCATTTGTGAGGGGATTGTCCAGCATTCACTGCTATATAGAAGAACAGATATCACGTAATAGCTCAGTATTATTTTCTTTCTTTCCATTGAAGTTTTTTTTCTGTTTCTTTTGGAAGGTATCTTTTGTTATCCCAATGTGACTTTGGATGACAGTGTGGAACTTTCTGTCTTCTGTCCCAGATACTTTTTTTTATTAGGTGTCTGTAAGAATTTACTTATTTCGGGAATATGGAAATTTTGATCGTTAATAATATCTTGCTTCTTTTGGTGTCGGTCTTATCACTCTGCAGGAGATTTAATTGGTGTGTTCTAGATCCTTCCGAAAGGATAGGATTTTCTTGTGATGCTTCTATTGTTTAAATAACGAGCATTTAATCATAACATATATTGTTTAAACCTTAGAATCGATTTCTAAACATTTAAGAAATCAAGATTGTATCAGAAATTACTCACCTAGCATTATAAAACCGTTTAAAACAAAACATCTTCTCTAAGAACTACAGGTAAGCGTGCTTTCATTTCTGCCGTATCTAGTCATTGTATAAAGAGCGGCCTCTGATGGTCGCTCCTTCTTGTGCTAGAGGGTTGTGCGTGGTCCAATGACTTTGTGAGCGATGTTGTCGAGACTTCTAAACTCTTGATAGGGCCACCATTGGCCTCAAGGTTGAAGACGAGGACCCAGACTAAGAAACCAACCGTGGAACAAATGGATGACAATAGATCTCAACGGTGAGACAGCGTATAATGAGGGCTACGCATTATGGACCAAATGCAGAATGTGCCACTTGAAATTATAACCTAGTCAGCAGCAGTCCTTTGAAGTTCCATAACTGGATTCTGTAAGTCTAATTCCACATGTGCCAAAGAGGAAGGCCATAAAATCTAGTTGAAGTCCACTTTAAAGTAATTCACGCTACCGATACATTCTTCTACTTTGATTTTCTTTCTCTTCTTTCAACCCCAACTCTTCCAAAACCGAAACAACGATAAGCAAAGGATGACGGGAGCAGGTTTTCATGAAACTGGAAATTTCTAATCCTGAATATACATTTTGGTGACGAATTTAATCATCAACATTATCAGAAAAGAAGCAATCATCAAAAAGTAAATAAATTGTTGAATAAACCCGACGATGATAAACATCCATGTTGTATAAATATGTTGTATAAATACGAACAGAAAATGTAAACATTTATTTAGAGAATAGTTGCTTGTTCTTCAATCGTGATTTTAAAAGTAGGATTTATTAACCAAATGCATGCTGATATTTCATTCATTCTAATGATTATATTTATCGCGACACAACACAATTAGTTTTAAACAGTTAAAGTAAAAAATGAAACAGTATTTACAAGTGTATTTTACTGCTAACCGTATTTATCTTAGAATTTACCATTCGTCTGTGTATTGAATATTGCTGTCGCATCTGGCCCAGTGCTTCTGCCATGCATTTAGAGATTTATAATTCCAAAAACTATCTGCAATTTTATTGGTCTTGACCTGTCATCTCGTCTGAGACTTGATTCTCTTTCCCGCCGTTGCCTGTGTCTTTTCTATAAAAAATATGCTAATTGTTCTGATGAGTTTTCCTCTTTGGTACCTAGGCATTATGAATCTTAGCGTACTATTCTATTGCAGGCTAAATCTCATCGTCTTATAGTTGAAATGGCTAGATGTAGCCGTAAGTTCTATGTTAATCGTTTCTTCTCTCCTTTTACTCGCTTGTAGATCTTCCTTTGGGCTTCCTTCAGGCTTTTTTCTTTCCAATTAATTTTGATATTCAAAATTTAAAATTCAATAACATTCTTTATTTTCTGTTTTCTTAATTACCGTTTTTTTATTGTTCTCTCTTGTTAATGTTTCATTTTTCTTTTCTCTTATTCTCTCCTTTCATTTTAGTGTTTTTATTGTCCCTTAACGATGTAGGCAATCATGATCCCTATGCATATATTTTATCTGTGAATTTCCATAATTTCTTCAGTAAACTTGGTGTTGACTGTATTGTCCACGTTATTGAAATCAGAGTTGTTTTTCTCCTGATCTGCCTGCCACCTAAGCCTATATCGACCAGACTTCCTTACTATTTAACCTCCATCTGCGTACAACCGAGTCCGCTTGTCGATACCAAGACTGCTGCAAGACCATTGGTCGTTTTCACAGAGCTTGATCTTGGGGCCTGTCCAATCATCGCGCAGGATTTCTCACACGTTATAGCACCCGCGTGATCGCCCGTCAGCTTATGTGTAAGTGCGCTCAAGTTCAACCACCTCTATGGCGTGACTCGGGCGTGCATTCACAATTTTGCGTTTATTTTTGCCCGCATGCAAGAACTTGGCTTACTTTATTAGCCTACTTCGGACACCGCAAGTTGTTGATTACGTGTTCTAGCTGCTTTTTTGTTTTATAGTTCCAACCCAACCACACACACGTTAGCCAATTGTACTAAAAACCCATTTCCTTTTGGATTTACCCTTGGTTTACCTTTTTAAATTTCCACTTTTTTAGTTTCGAGTTCCCCTTTAGTAACATCTGAACTCATTTTACTGGGTGTTCCCCACTTTGTAGCTACGTTAGCAGTTCACGTTTTTCGTTTTGGATTTGTCGAAATCTCTTTTTAAGCTTTACACTCTTTGACGTTTTTACTGTTTATTTACCACCTAAAAGGAGGAAACTTTTGGGGCGGCGCACGGCAGCTGTCTCCGCTGCTAGAGCAGCGAGGTCGAGTGAAACCCCTGAACAGACTTCTTTGCGTCTTTCACAGATGGCCTCGAGCTCAGCTGCTCGCTTATCTAAGGAAAGCGCCGCTGTGCGTACTGAAAAGTTGGCTTCATCGGCTTCAAACATGTCCGCACGCCGCGCCAGGCTTTCAGTTGAAGAACGTTAATTTCAGAATTCACAGTCCCCAGCACAGAAAACCCTTCGTCGTTTGCGGGATGCCACTGCCAAAGCTTGCTCCAGGGGTTTAGAAGCCCCGAACAAACAACTTCACGTCATCTTGGGAATACTAGGGCTAGAGTCGTCTCTAGAGCTTCGGAACAACCCAAAGAAAACGCGTCTACCAGAGCCTTAGAAAGCCTTGCACAGACCACTGTTCGTCGCGTTAGAAATGCCCGCTCTACTGCCTCTGCCAGGGATGCAGAAAACTTGAAGTACGCCGTCAACGGCTCAAAAACATTAGCAACTTCGAGCTTCTTTGAATGTCGTAAATTCGCCGTCTGCATCATTTTGGTCAAATGCTGCATACAATTATGACTGCCAACTTTTCCGTCAAAGAGAGACGTACAAATAGGGGCCATGGATAAAGTTTGCACTTCTTGCAACGCAAAAAAGTGGACCGGTGAGCAACCTGGGCTTTGTTGCTTTGGGGGCAAAATCAAACTCCCTTCTTTAGACGAACCTCCCCAGCCGCTTAGGGACCTCTTTTTGGGGACAACTTCGGAGTCAACGCATTTTCTTGAAGCAATACGGAAGTACAACTGTTGCTTCCAGATGACGTCTTTTGGTGCGAAGGCTATTAGTGAAGGGGGATGGATGCCTACTTTCAAAGTGCAAGGCCAGGTTTACCACTTAATGGGATCACTTTTGGCTGATCAAGGAGAGCCACCTCAGTTCCTACAAATTTACATTCTCGCTGACTACAAGAAGCAGGTTGATGTGCATCTCGGCATTTTGCCTACTGATATTTCCGTAGGTCCCCGTAGAGACATTCTGTTCCGTCTACAAGACATGCTTCACGAAACTAACAGTTACACCCGAAGCTTAAAGTTTGCGTTGCAAAACAACTCTTCGCCCTCTTTCAACGTTGTCATCGATGCAGACAGACGGCTTCACGGTGAGCATGAGTGTCGCTTCAATGCTCCTGCATGTAATGAAGTTGCCTCAGTCATCCACGGTGAGGAGCATAAAAGCCGTGACATTGTCGCAAAGGTACCGAGGCGGTGGTCTGCACCGCATCAGTGAAACCCAGCGTTCATACGACTGTCTCAGTACAACCTTCTATTTCCATACAGAAGAGATGGGTACCACTTCAAAATCCCCAAATACCAGGCAAGCAGCGATTCGATGTCGACCTCGAAGACGGTCTCCTGTAGGGCTTACTACGACTACATGTTTATGGTTAGGGAGGGTGAATTTAAACACTTGCAGAGGGGCCGTCGATTATTTATTCAATTCGCTGTTGACATTGCTGCAAAAATGGAGTCGGAGAGGTTAGGATTCATTAAGTTAAACCAATCAAAACTTAGAACCGACTCCTACATTCACCTTCGTGATGGTCTGCATTCTGATGGTGACCCACGCAATCTCGGCAAACCGTGCATTTTGCCTTCCTCTTACACTAGGGGCCCTCGATACGTGCATGAAAGGACACAAGACGCAATGACCTATGTCCGTCATTACGAGAGGCCTGGTTGTTCGTCACGTTCACGTGCACTCCGAAATTGGTTGAAATCACACGCGAACTTTTTCCGGTCAGCAGTACTCACACCACCCTGACCTAATTGCCTGCGTTTTCCGGTTCCAGCTGTGTAAGCTTATGGATTTAATCCTTAAAGGGTAAGTCTTCGAACGCGTTAAGTGTCATATGTATACAGTGGAATAGCAGCAACGTGGTTTACCTCATGCCCACATTCTGCTGTGGCTCAACGATAAGGTTGACGCAAACAAAATAGACGATTTTATTTCTGCTGAAATTCCGGAACCTGCGCTGGATCCTTTGCTCCACTAAATCATGTAAAAACAATATGATACACGGCCCCTGTGGCGCGAAATACGAAAAAAAAAAAGGTCATGTTGGTCAAGCGGTCCCACTTGCGCAAAGGGTTACCACCGTAATTTTATCTCAGAAACGCAAACTGCGACATATGGTTACCCACTGTATAGACGTAGAAGCCCGCTGAGGGCGACAGAACTGTGACAGTTAAGGGGCACACCCTGGACAATCGTTTGGTGGTGCCTTATTGCCCGCTGCTCTCCAAGACTTTTGGAGCCCACGTAAACTCGGTTAAGTCAATAAAGTACATCTGCAAGTACGTTAATAAAGGCAGCGATCCTGCCGTTTTCGGTATCCGGGTCGACAATTGTGTTGACGAGGTGGCCTATTACGTGGCTGGACGCTACCTCAGCAGTAGCGAGGCCTTTTGGCGAATTTTCGGATTCCCTATACATCAAAGGGCTCCAGCCATTGTGCAGCTTGCTGTTCACTTAGAAAATGGACAGAGGATATACTTCACCGAACAAAACGCCCAGCAGGTTGCGGAAAACCCTAAACCATTCCTCCATACCTCGAAGTTTTTTGAGTCATATGGTCGAGTTTGAAATTCTAAAAAAAAAATCCAAGTTTGAATCAGAAATATTATTGGTCTTGACCTGACACCTCGGCTTCACTCACTTTCCCACTGCCATAAAGATGTTTCTATGTATAATTTTCTGTGAATACTTTCATGGTCATTGTTTCGATGATCTCTTTGCCATGGTAAATAGACTTTATTAATTTAAGCGCAGTACTAAATTAGCTACAACGTTTCATCAATTCGCAGTTGAATGGGATAGATGTAACGGTAAGTTCTATGCTAACAGTTTATTTTCTCGCACTTCTCGCTTGTGGAATTTACTTCCGGCATATTGCTTTCTAGTCAAGTTTCATTTTCAAAAATTTAAATGCAATGTCAAACGTTATCCTGGTTATTTTCCTATTGTACTCACTCCTCAATAAGGTTACTGTTTTCTAATCCTTTCACACCAAGTATCACCTTGTGTCTTAGTGGCTTTACTGCCTTGGTTTGGGTGAATTCGATTAAATAAAATAAAATATGATTTGGATATTTTCAGTTTACTATTTGAATTAGCTACTTTATTTATACCAGTAATTATCGATAGTTAATTAAAACCAAGTTCCAATGCCAAAAGCTGCTGTTAGCACACTTTGAATGCAATTATTAATAGAAGTGATCCAAAGGTATTAAAATGCATATTGCCTTATACGGTTTCATTAAAAACTGTAGAATGATTAAATGTTTTCTGAAATGTAATATGGCGTTTTATTGTCTAATTTATTAGAGGTAAAGAGTTACAAAGTACGAGATGTGACGGTTACACACCTGGCCCAGTGTCGGATCCTTTGGTTACGGCGCCAACGGTGACGTCGCTCCTCCTGGTCGCTCCTCCTGGGTCCAAGCGTGCCGCTCCAACCCTTTGGTCAGATGATCACCAGCCTCGCCTTTCCCGACTCGCTTCCAATACCTGGTCACTAAAGCAACTATACCGATCTCCGGTCTGTCTACCCACGCTGTGTTTAGATCTTAGACAGACGGGACCAGCAGGGATCGGGGCCGATACAAGTTGAGTCCGACGGGGGTGGCAAAACACAAATAAAATAAAAACTCACGACATCAAACAAAATTGCTGATAAAAAGGGTAACAACCTTTTATATCTTAAAGTCCGTTACATAAAAACAAAAGTGTTCTCATTTCCCGACCCGCTCTGTGGACTATGGCACCAAGCTTCTATCACACAATAGAAAAATGTCAATTACCTACTTTCTAGAATCATGTATGTATGTCGGAGTGTGGTTCAGTTCGACACTGGGGCTAATTTCTATCGATCATTCGCAGTTGATTCTTCTCTCCGACTTGAGTTGTATTTCTTCTTCTTCGTCTGCTTGGGCTGGTAGTTTTCCTGTTTCAACTTGGTGGAAGATTTCTTGTTTCAACTTAGCCGCAACTCTCTGTCGTCTGAGGTGGTCTCTTTCACTGCCGTCCGGAGCTGAACTTTAACTTCTCATCGACTTTCGGCTTGTCTGCAGCTCCAATTCTTCTCAGGCTTTCAGGCAATCTTCTTCGTCATCTACTTGGGCTGGAAGTTCTTCTTGTCTGAGGGTTCTTTTCTCGCTGCCGTCCGGGGATGAACTCTGTCTGCAACTCCCTCCAACTTCAGCTCCAAGGATTCTTCTGCCGAAAGGGGTCCCCTGCTGATATTGACGCCGCAACAAACCGGGGTGGGTCGGTCGGCGTCAGGGGTTTCTCGATAAAAAGCCGTACTAATTTTGATTTTTCCATTATCGTTATTGTTTTCACCCCTACTTTCTCCACAGTGCTCTTGGGGGCGGCGCATATCTATTTCTCTTAGTCTCTCTCATGTCGGTGATCGTTCTCACCCCAATCGTTCCTTTGATCGGAACCTTCCTTTCTCTTCTTTTCCGCAGCCCAGGTGACCGCCTCGTCCAACAGTTATTGATCGAGGTTTTCTTTCCTTCTTCTTCCGCGGTCACGTGATTGTATTCGACCAATTGTTATTGACCGAACACCCTCTCCCTTTTGTTGGCGGGCGTGGTTACATCGTTCTGGTTTAAAAAAACAAAATCCGATTTCGCACCTTTTTTGCACGTACGCAAAATGACAATCTTGCCCTCTCTCACCTGGACTTTGTCAAACAGCCCGCTGCTAATTAGTCTTGACTTTTAGAAAGGATCTTTTCCGCCTTCCTGGCGCCCTCCGTGGTCCAAAAACAATTGCTCTTCTTTTTACCTCTTTGTTTTTCCTGATAGCCGAGAATCTTAATTATCTAGGTCGAAATATCTCTACTTTCTTAACGTGGGTGTCCAATTCTTAACAGGTCAATTCCGTATATCGTTTTCACCAGTCATTTCCCCCAACCCAAAGACACTTTCTCTCTGACTAAAGTAAAATTCATTTCTATTATTCTAATTTAAAATTTACCTTTCGTTATTTTGATAAGAATTCTTCTACGAAAATGTCGGTAGGCGCTCGCGACCGATATCTCAATTCTATTCTTTCAACAAAATTAAGGTCAGTCAGAGGCTCTGACCGACATCTGGTCCCACCCAGCGGCCTGTTTTGATATCATGTCTTTCCTTTCTTTCCCCTTTTTTGTTATCTTCTTTCCTTTCTTCCTTTTTCCTTTCTTTCTTTTTCCTTGCTTTAGGATCGTTTAGTACATTCTTAGTGAATTATTTTCAACTCAGTTATTTTCCGTTTTTAAAAAAAAATTAACAACCTGTTTAATAAACTGAATAAGAAAAAATTAACTCATATTTCTATGAATATTTCCAATAAATGCAAGGTGCCATAATCCTCCCTAACCGATTTGTCATTTACCCGTAAATGACACCTAAACCTAATTACATCATTTAACATGCACCATGCATTTGTCTCATGCAATTCTATTCTACTTTCTAACATGCAAGGGTAATGTTCTTTCCATTTTTCTTTTTGTTCTACATGCAATGAAATGTTCTTTTCATTTTCTTTTGTTCTACATGCAATGAAATGTTCTTTTCATTTTCTTTTTGTTCTACAGGCAATGTAATGTTCTTTTCATTTTCTTCTGTTCTACATGCAATGAAATGTTCTTTTCTTTTCATTTTCTTTTCATCTTCTGTTCTACATGCAATGAAATGTTCTTTTCATTTTTTTTTGTTCTACATGCAATGTAATGTTCTTTTCATTTTTTCTTTTGTTCTACATGCAATGAAATGTTCTTTTCATTTTTTCTTTTGTTTTATTTTCATGCAAGGTAATGTGTGCGTGTGTTTGTAGGTGCAGATGTGTTCACTAGGGTTTGTTCTTCTTGGTCAATGTTTTCCTCTCTGCCGTGGGAGGTTTTCCCGCCGCACGTGGTGGTCTCACGCCAGCCTCCTCCATTGGTCTTTCAGCAATTTCTTCGCCAGTCCTGTCCGAGTAAGGAACACTGCTCAGCATCTCCCTCTCGAGTTGTTGCATGCTCACTAGACTGTCGTTCGCTAATCTTCTCTTACTCTTAATCTTCCATATTATTACACCCCCGATGGCTACAACTAGGAATGTACCCATTACTATTGACCAACTTATCGCGATCTGCTCATCGTCTTCCCAAGCTACACCTTCGTCTCCCAACGCACTTAACTTATCCCTTAAGTGATCCATATCGATCTTTTCTATTGGCTTCATTAATACTGGCATCT